TGCCAGAAAGACAGGTACCAAGGACGTCTCCTAGAATAGTGGCTGAGGTCTTTCTTTCATCCTAGGTAGTGACTGAGTCATATCTTTAAAAAGTTCAAATCAAGTGCCTTCTTTATTTTATTTATTTATTTGTTTATTTATTAATTTATTAAAGATGACCAATAAGGGGATCCTAACCCCTGACTTGGTGCTGTCAGCACCACGCTCAGCCAGTGAGTTAACCGGCCATCCCTATATAGGGATCTGAACCCGTGGCCTTGGTGCCATCAGCACTGCACTCTCCCGAGTGAGCCACGCTGGCCCTCAGTGCCTTCTTTAAAACAAACAAACAAGTCATCCACCAAACCTCTCTTCTCAGGTGAAAACCAGAAACAGGCTTCATGGTCATTTACCTCTTTTCTCTCTCCCCATCTCGCTCTCACGGTTTCTGATCTGGACCAGAGCAGCCCCACCGTTCACCGATCGGCCAGCCTGAACATTTTTCTGTGACCCCAATGAGCGCCCCTCTTCTGGAGGCCTCACAAACAGCCTGGTGCCCAGAGAGAGGCGTCTGCGCCTGGCTAGATGCAAACCAGGACGGGGCAGGTGAGGTAGGGCAGTGGCCGCAAAGGTTAAAAGACTTAATTCTGAGTCAATTTAACCTTTCAACGTGCGAGTGGATAATTTTATCTTACTATTTTCTTAAATTTCATCAAATACTTTAAAGAGTGCAAAAATCCAAAGATGTACAACAGGAACTGAGCTATGTTTGCCAAGGTACAAGGATTAAATAACCACATTTGGAGCGATTTTTTACCCTAAGTACTCTTTATTGGTTTTCATAATGTGGTTTAAGGTGCAAGAGAGAGTAAACAAAGCGATGGGGACGGAGTTAGGGTGGATTAAGGCGGCAGAGCCGCAGAGGGGAGGAGATGAAAGGCCCGGCCCGCTAAGAAAACACAACCTTCCCCGGAAGCCGCCAGGCCTGCGGGCTAAGGCACCTCGCTCCTCAGTGACTCCCGACCTCACCACCGGTGGGGCTGGGCGCCCAGGCCAGCACCTCCTTTCAGGACATGCCACCCTTGCTGTGCTGCTGTCTGGGTTACAGGGAGCCACCAGCCCTTGCAGCTGCAGACGCGGCCACCGCCGCTGCCTCCCCACATCACGGAGCATGACACTGCTGTGGAGTCGTGAGACCCTGTGAATGAAGGGCACTGCTCACGTGCTTATCTGTCTTTACCACGAGAATTAAACAACTGCTCCGGTCACCTGTTCAGGCATGATGAACCATGACAAATCACCAAAGAGCCACCACTATCCTATGATGCCCACGGCGCCCTGCCCAAATTCCTGGTGGATAGAATCCAGGACAGGGCAAAGAATGGGGGTTGCTTTAAGCCACCAGGTTGGGGTAACAGTGGCAGCTGGAATAATCTGTTCCTACAGGTTCAGAGAGCCTGGGAGACTGAGGACCCCGAGGCTGTCCGGCAGGCAGTCCTCCTGCATGGGGGTCCCCCTCTGGGGGACATCTCCTATGTATCTGCTCCCTCTCCTTCCCGACAGGGTCACTTGGCTCTCCCTGGTGCCACACTGAGGTCCGACCTTTTCCCCACAGCCCACTTGCCCCAGGCCTGGGCTTCTCCTGGAAACGCTTCCTAAACCCTCGGGTCCGACAAACGTGACCGCAGATTTTCTCCCTGTGTGTGTTCGCTGTGTGGTCTTAACAACGCAGTTCACGGACAGTTTCTCCAAACACTATTTACCTTTCTTCTCTACCGGCCTTCACACACACGTGCCGCCTCCCAGACCGGCCACGGCCCCCAGCACGGGTTCCTCGAGCTAAGCCAGGTGCTCCCTCATTCCCGGGAAGCCCGGCAGTTCCCAAGGCCTCTCAGGACCATGACAGACATCGCTACACACCCATCGGAGTGGCCATGGTAAAAAATGGCGACCCCACCAAGTTCTGGCAAGGATGCGGGGAAGAGGGGACTCACGCTTGCGGCTGGCCAGAGGGCAACACGGTACAGCCCCCCGGAGCACAGAGCAGCGCTTTCTAACAGCCACCACAACCTTACCACGCGCCCCAGCCATCCACTCCTGGGCGTTCATCCCGGAGCAGTGGAAATTCACGTGATCACGTACATTGTGTACACAACTCTGCCCCGAACGCTTCATCTGTAGTAGCTCCGAAGAGGGAAAAACCTGGTGTTCTTTAACAAACTGGTTAATCAGACTGGCACATCCACACCATGGAACGCCACTCACACGTTAAACATAAAAGGCTGTTTTACATAAGCAAACCTGGGAGGGTCTCGAGGGAACTACAGAGTGAAACATGCCAGTCTCGATGAGTCACATGTGACATGATCCCATTTATATAACATTCCCAGAATGACAAAATTTCAACCCCAGAGCAGGTCAGTGCTTATGAGGGGTTAGGGATGGTGGGGAGGCGGCGCTGAGGGCACAAAGGACATCTTTGAAGTGACGGGACAGTTGTATATCTTCACTGCATTGATGGTCACAGTCTGCACATGTGATCAAATGACATCCAACTGCACACACACTTTATCAAACCCAGCTTCCCGGCTGTGACTGACCACTGGCTCTGCCATGCCTGCATGTCCTGGGTAGAAAAATGCCCCCAAAGATGCTCACTGTTCAACCCCCAAACCTGTGAGTGGCACCTGACACGGCACAAGGAGCTTTGCAGACATGACCGTGTTAAGGATCGAGAGATGGGGAGCTCCTCCTGCGTTATCCCGGGGGCCCTAAATGTAACGCAAGAGTCCTTATCAGAGGGAGCGCACATGAGGATGGAAGCAGACGTTGTGCTCAGAGAGGGTGGAAGACACTCACTGCCACTGCGAGGACAGAGCAGGTGCCACGAGCCCAGGAATGCCGGCACCTCTAGAAGCTGGAAACGGCAGGGACCCGGCTTCCCTGGAGCCTCCAGAAGCAACCGCACCCCACTGCAGCCCACTGCAGCCCACGCAGGGCTGCTGACCCGCAGAGCTGTGAGAACACGTGTGTTGTTCTAGGCACTGCACTTGCGGCGACTCACTGCAGCAGCAGCAGGAAACCAACACACCGTGAATCTAGACTTACTGCAGAGCAAAAGTTTAAACGAAGACACCGAGGACAGGACGGCAGCGGCACCCACGAGCAGGAGGTGCTGGCGGCACAGGACTCTCTGTCTCTCTGCGCTTGTCCTCTGCCCCGGGCCGGGCTTCGGCCAGTGCTGGTGCTTCTCCAGCCGCCATGCGCTGGGGCCCCCTTACTTTACGCTGCCTTTGCGATCGGCTGTCTCAGAGGCCGATGTCCATGTGCATCCTGTTAACTCGCATGTGTTCACTTTGGTCACCGACCTCACCGGCCGAGGCTGTTGAATTCTGACTCTGCTATCGGCGTCCTCCATCTTCCTCCCGCTGCAGGTCTGGCAAGCGCCCTGTTGCTCACCCGGGACGTTGGCGAGACAGTGACTGGGACAAGGCAGGTGCAGTCGGCATGGCTTGTCCTCACCACAAGGTGCTCCCTGCCACTGCTGCCACCTGGAGCCAGCGCTCGGCCTGGTACACAGACAGGGCAGCCAGAGAACAGATCCCTGAGCCCAGTCGGGGGCCATGAACACAGGAGGTGACATGTGTTGCCACTGACGACTGCGTCCTGCTCAGGGATCAACCATTTAATCATTTATTTCAAAATTTCCCTAGGCTCAAGTCATACCCACTGGTCTGGCGTTTATGGAAATCCTCATAGATGGGGGTAAGTCATGTCTCGACATATGGCGGTTTCTTTGAGCAACCTGGACCGCAGTGGGTCCCCCTGCAGGGGCTGTGAGTGCCCCCTCCCCAAAGCCAGGCAGCTCCAGGCATGAGGTCGCAGCGGAGGAGCCCAGCGTCGAATCCCTGCACGTTGCTGGCAACCTCGGTGCTTCAGCGTGGGAACGTCACCCTCAAGCACGCTGTAGAAATTAAAGTCGGACTAAAGCAGAATGCTTTGTTATTCTCACACACACGGGGCTGGGGTCTTCTCACCCTTCCCGTGAGCGAATGACACTGTATTGTTCTTTTGCTCCTGGTGCAGAACTCACCCTGTTTGGAAGCCCGCCCACCACTGTGTTCAAGACCTAGAGCGGCATTTTGTGGCGGCTGTGTTTTATTTTAAACCAACAATATACATTTTTTTCTCTGAACATTTTTATGTGTTACAGTGTGGCCACTTAAGACTATCACTAGCTTTTCAAGGACAGATTAAGTATACATGTAATACTGGAGACAATATTCTGGACATTAAAGATTCCCATTGAAAGCTGGAACAAGCGCCCTCGCCGTGGACGTGGCATTAATCACACCAGCGAAACTTTCCGCCTCGGTTTTTTCATCCCTATTTTTAAAATTAATTACATTTTCTATGGTGGTTCCTCAGGGGAACTGGAGTAACTTCATAGTTAGAACAAATTTCCCTAACCCGTCCCAGTCCCTTAGCGGCAGAAGTGAGCGATTCTCAAACACAGCCCTTAAATAGACTTTCAGCGCTCGCCAGGTGGGATTTCCAGCAGAGCGACCTGTAATCCCGACCTGCAACCCCAAGACCAGGCGGAGTGAGCATGATAAATATGCACGACGTCTGTCAAGGGAGGGTGCAGAGCCTGTTCAAATGCCACGTCCACGAATAAAAGCAATTTCCACACCAAGTTTCTGAGCCCATGAAAGGTTACATTTGTTAGCTTTTTCATGTTTGCCAAACTCAGGTGCAGCTTCCACAGACCACAAAGCCTCCGCAGACCCAGAAGCCCCCATTCCTGCGATTCAAACTCGAGCATCCCCTACCGGCTGGGTTTGGGCAAAATCTCATACGGTGACCCCAGGCCACCTGGGGACAGGCTGAGCCTCTGCCACAACTTGGTCTGGAGGGGATGAACGATCCTGGGGTCCCTGCGGCTGGGCTGGAAGTCTGGCCATCTGGCTCTTTCGGCTCCCAGGCTGTAGCCAGGTTTGCCCACCTGGTCCAGTCTGGCCTTCCTCCCCGTGCAGGTGGGATGTGACCAGCAACTCTGGAGGCCACGGCTATGAAGTGAGCGTGGCAGGAGCGAGGTGCCCGAGGACGGTGCCACCTCAGGAACATGTGGCCCGGTTTTCTCCCCTTCCTTTGATGGGACCACTCACTCCCCCGTGGATAATTAACAGGGACATGCTGTGGGATGGTTTGCTTATGGTCGGGACCACACAGAAGCCTAAGAACCTGCAGAGAGAAACCGGGGCCAGGAGCCAAGGAGAACGAGCGGGTGCGGGAAATCCTGCTGCTGACCGCCGGCCACTGCCCGCTGACCGCCGGCCACTGCCCACTGCCCGCGCCTTCGAGGCCTGAGGAGCCGGGGATGCCCGCAGCACGGCCGTCCAGGACGTGCCTGCGCCTTACCCCGCGTGCCGGCTCACGTCTACACCTCTCAGTGGGCTTGGTTTACAGGGCCCTGTCTACACCCCAACCATCTCTCCTTCGCCTTCTACACTCGCTGATGCCAGGAGACGCCGCCCTGCGCCCTCCAATCTCCCTGTCTGTACCCCAGGGCAGCCCTCGGTCTTGGGGTCATGGCCCATCTGAGAAGGTGACGAAATGGGGGCCCAGAACGCACCTGGTCTCCCAGGGACCCCACGTTCGGTCCCCCCCTCGGGTTTCCCCAGAGCCTTGGCTGATTCAACCCCTCTGCGCACAGCGGCCCAGCACCCTGGGAGGGTCGCGGTGCGCGGGTGGGGAGACTGCGGCCCGGACTGGCCCGGAGCAGCCGCGCAGTCAAGAGCCCGCCAGGGTCCGCGTTGACAGCCCGTAGCACACACCAGGGACCACGGCCACCCCGCAGGGCGGAGCCAGGGTGGCTCAGGGAAGACCTCCCGCGACCCCGCCCCG